TCCGGAACAGACACGGAAGACGAGATCCAAATGTTAAACCCCAACGATCCAACAAGTGGAACAGGAGGAGGATCGGGAGGAGGAGGATTAATCGCTGGTGCGAGTGCTGGGACGAGTAGTCTACCGGGATCCCAACCGCTGAGCGCAATCGCCGAACGTACCATGTCTGGCGCCGAAGAAAGTGATGAGGAAGAAGAAGATGTGGAAGGTGGTTGGCAAACGGCGAAATCTATCGGAAATCGGGTTAGCTAGATTTGTACGTAGAAGTAAAGAAGATATAAATGTAGAGAGGTGTTTGGTTCTCAAGGTCGTGTGTAGCGGGGGTTGTTCCCACAGGAATTTGTGGTGAGATGGGATTGCCCATTTGGGGAGCGAAACGTCAAACCGTGTGTTGTTGGAGCTAGCGGATCAACCAGGGGAGAATGGAGGAGAGGATTTATAGTGTATGGTCTGCGAGAGATGGGTGAGACGAGACTCGCCTTGCGCTGTGCGACGCTCAGCTTGCGTTGGATTTCTTGCGCAGACGGTGTCTGGCCTGGCGTTCGAGGCTCGTCGGATGCTACGATGCTCGTCATTTCGTGGCGGGAAGAATCTTGATAAAAGTAATAATGGATGAAATGTCGAGTTGGGGGGAAAGAGTTGTCGTGACGAGGTTGTTTGGACTGAGATGTAAAGGGTAAAGAATGAAGCCACGGGGTTGGATGGCTGTGATCAAGGTTTGCCACTCTTCAAGCTCCCACTCTTGTCACCTCCAACTATATAAATCAACAAGAAATAATTCATGGCGGATAAATTCGAGAAAGCGGTCAAGATTGGTGCGTTCGCCTCCGTTTGGTGAAAGCGAACCGGGCCTCGCTGACGATGTTTTCGGTGCTAGTGCAAGAGCTGGCTCCAGGCGAGTCTGCGCAGCCTACTGCAGACGAGAAACTATTGGTACGAACTCTTGTATGTATCTAGAGCTTTTACTTATGGGTTGTTTAGCTCTACGGATGGTACAAGACTGGTATGTCAGAGCTCCTCTATTTCGTCAGGCAGTCCCCCTGCTAGCCCTTATGCATTACACCAAGCTCATCACTACCCTCCATCTAGTCACTGTCGGTGCTGTTGATCGCGTTCGACCTGGTCTCCTACACCCAGAAGGACAAGCAAAATGGTAAGCCACCCTGGTCGAGCGTCATGATCGACGATGGTCCTGGCTAATGTCGTCACGCCTTAGGGATGCATGGAGTGAAGCACAGACGACTCCTGGAGAAGATTGCAAGCGTTTATATGTTGAAAAAGTCATCGAGGTTAGTGGGTGAGCTAGAAGGTGATCTCCAGCATTGACCCTGAATGTCCAGGTCTTGGAACGTCATGACACCGCTGTGACTAGGAAATACCTCAGTGAACTGAACAGCTAATAAGGTATAAAGTCCCAATGCATAACGATGATTGTGTCTCCATGTCTTTACAATGTACCATTGAATCTAGACACGCATTTCAATGAACTTTAATGTCATACTTTATCTACGAAGACGTCTTAAGGATTCATGGTCACCAATTGGTCCACATCGTCCCCGAAAGTATAAAGCCTTGCCACCATGTTGATTTGAAAAGAGCTCTCAAAATTGAGCAAAGAACCACAATCGTTGGTAGATGAAGAGTGGCACGTGGATAGCTGGGTTTCAATCTTGGCCCTCAGTCTCGTCTATGCCGGGTCGCAATACCCTCGCCAGTCGCTTAGCAGACGCCCAAGAAAGCGAAGGCACCCGTCAAAATCTCAATCTAAGAGGATTGGGTCGCAGAATAGGTACAACCAGACCGACTGCCACTACAACCGCACCAGCCACCTCTACCGCACCCGCCGTCCCTCGTAATGTCCCACCGCCCGAACCACAATCTCCAAACGCATCTTTTGCTGCGAGAAGGAGCACGAGGGTGAACCAGTTGCGAGTCCAGCAAGCTGGTCTCTCTTTTGAATCACCGACACCTCAAGTCGGAGATCCATCTGCGGCACCCATGTTGAATTTGCGAGGGAGAAAAAATGATCCGACCAAATTATTTGCCATCACACCAAACTCTTCCACACTACTCGCCTCGCCAGCCGGTTCTTCACCGAGATATGGTGCCAACAGAAATAGAAGTCGATCTAATAGGAGAAAGTCCCTTCTCGGTCCAGGTCAAAAGGGAGGTTTCCTGAATGCATTCACTCCTAGCCGTCCTGGTGGGTTTGAAGATTCGAGCCTACTACACCATGATGGTACTTCGACGGCAGATTCGTCATTGATGGCATTGAGTCCGATGAAACTTAACATTCAGGCTGAAGGGAATGATGATCGCTCTGTCGATGCAACCTCTCGGTCTATAGACTCTATCGACTTGAAGGTAGAGGAGGATGAAGAGCTCTCGGAGGACGAAGACGACGAGGATGAGGATTACGAGGATGAGGACGAGGAAGAAGAAGAATGGGGATTAGTGGATAGGATGAGACTATGGAGGCATGATGCCATGACCCAGCACCTTTACGATACGGCAATCTTTTGGGGAGACAAGGTCATGGAATGGACTAGTCAGTACTTTATGAATACTAACTCATATTGACTTAGAAATTCCACTTTTAGATGATCCCAGTGATGCCTTTTGGCTTGCCCAGGTTCACTTTCAAACGGGCGATTATGCTCGAGCCGAAAGGCTACTAACGCGACCCTTTACGATCAAAAACGCCCAAGATATTTCGGTATCAGACTCTCCGATAGACCCAGGACCAGGCTCTACATCATTTGGATTCGCGTTAGGAGTAGCCACGACCAACCCTCAACAAGCATATACGACTCCCCACCATCCGCATACCACCACTACTACG